AAGAAAACAAACCTTGAGGCATCAGAACACATGAGAACTTTGTATTTATCTTGAACTTTGAACACTCTAAAGAAAACAGGTGTATACTCTTCCAAATTTTCAGAAGACAAAGTTAGAAGCCCAAATGGGCCAAGTCCACCTTGAACATTTGAACCTCTAATAGCACATACATCTTGTGCATAAAGATCATCCCAACTAGAATCAAATTCTTCTACATTGTCCAAACTTGAAAAGGAAAATGTCACTTCAACATCAGCCTGCCAATTAAATTAACACTCAGAAATTAGCCTTAACTTTGTCTTGTCACATTAAGAGGGCAGCCCGGTGTACTAAGCTCTCGCTATGTGCAGAATCCGGGGAAGGGCCAGACCACAAGGGTCTATTGTACGCAACCTTATCCTACATTTCTGCAGAGGCTGTTTCCACAGCTTGAACCCATGACCTCCTGATCACATGGCAATAACTTTACCAGTTATGCCAAGGTTTCCTTTCTTGTCACTAATTTCATAAATAAATGAAATGGATAAATTTATTTGGTACTAACAATAAAAAAAGTTCAAACCTGTGCAGGTGTGATTCCTTTAACTTCAACCTTTTCTCCCTTCTTCAATTTTTGATTTCTTAATTGCACCTCATTCTTTCTCAAGGTTTTTAATTCTTCAACGGGCCATTGAACCAACTGTTTGCCACTAGGATCAAGCCATATTTTACGCGGAATAGCCTGAATTCCAGCCCATCCTTTCTTGACATCATCAATAGGGAAAGCATCCGATTCATTAGCCCAACCCCACAAAATTCTTCGATTTTTGCTTGGGTCATAAAATGTTTTTGATGCATAAAAATTACCATAGTCGAGTCTCAATCCCTTCCATCCATCGATCGATGTATTATCCGGAATGTACCTATCTTTTTTTGTGTCATACGTACCGACTGTGTAGTACTCAAACCTAGTCAAATCAAGACTAACCTTAAGAACATGTTTAATGTTGTCACCATCAAATGATGTGTCCAAACCATTTGAATGTTCCAATGACACTGGAAAAAAATCAGGACACTCCCAATTTCCAGTATTGGCTGATGTATGAAGTGGATGTTGGGCTTTGGTCCATTTCATAAAGTCCTTACTCCTATACAATATTGCTTTTCCTCTATGTTTTCTAACACTACCAACCAAAATTCTCCAATGCCCGTCACGGCCCAACCAAGCGGTTGTTGGGTCGCGAAATTGGGTTTTGTTGATGCTCTTGTCCGCAACGATTAACGGGTTGTTATCGGGCTTGATCCACTTACGGAGAAATGGATCGGATAAATTAGCTGGTATGGCGTAGTTTTGGACTTGGGTATTTTTGGCATCTACTATTCCAGTGTAGAGGATAATGGGCTTGGGCTTTTTACCAGGAAGAATAGTGGCTGACCCGGACCATGTACCGTATTTGTCGAACACTTTGGACGGATAAATTGCAGGCTCTAAACGGGCCCAATTAATCAAGTCTGTGGATACTGAATGGGCCCAAACAATATTGCCCCATACTGCACCTTTAGGATTATACTGATAAAATAGATGATAGACTCCATTGTAATACATTGGACCTGTTGGAAGAAAAAAAACAGATTAATGTAAATGATTATGATTTTAGCTAAAATTTAGTAAAAACAGTAATTATGAAACTTGATCTCACCGTTGGGATCTTATGTTTGTTGTTTGGAAGCATCCGAGCCAAGACCATAAAAAGGAGTAAATTGAAAATGATTAGTAAAAACATTTGAATGCAATTGAAAAAAATTGTATAACAAGAAAATTATTGAATAGAATATTCAGATCAATCTCATAAAAAAAAACACGGAAACCAATTACAGAACTTAGTGAGTTGCTATAAATATTTTATGCAAGATTAAGCCCGGTGCATGAAGCATCCGGCATTCACATAGAGTTCGTGGAATGACCGCACATCGAGAACGTGAGGTGGTGTGATATAGGTAGTATGCCCTAATGCATGTATTAGTGGCTGATTCTACGGTTCGTATCCGTAACTTATAGGTCATTCGAATACAATTTTACTTAATTCTTTCATTTCCTTTAAGGATCAAATCGAATACTAAATTTTAAAAGAAAAGCTTGTTTTTTTTTATAGTTTATTTAGCTCTTAATAAAATGATACAGTCACAATAATGTTAAGATCAAAAAAGTATCTATTAACAAAGGCAGACCTAATTTAGAAGTTATGAGTTCATATGAACCAATAGCTTTTACCGTAATTCTGTATTAAGAAATCTACTAAATATCTATAGATATTTGAGTGTATCTAATGAAAATAAGTAGCTAAAAGCACATAGTTTGAAATTTTGGGAAGTAAATTTCACTGTCACTGAACAGATACAGAAATCTAGGAAATACAAAAAGATTATTTGTCTTTTTCAGCATTTAAACGGAGAAATCTACTACTCCTAATTGGTGTTGAAGCTAGTTATGGGAACCAACTCATGCAAGCCCCACTATGTTAGTTCAAATAGCAGAAACTCTTCCACTATTGTGTTTCAAACGAGAAATATTTAAGGTAAAAAAGACAAGAATACTGATAAATTGTTAATTTCTCATCCTTCAATTAATTCTGATTCTATTCAATTATTTAT